CCCCAAAACCCCAAAACCCCAAAACCCCAAAACCCCAATATTATATAATAATTTGAAAAGAACAATATGACAGACTACAACAAAAAAATTAATGATCTCAGGAAAATTCCCGAAAACAAAAGCTGCTTCGATTGAGGCGAGAAGGGAGTCAACTATGTGGTCCTTGATTTCGGAGTCTTTGTTTGTAACACATGTTCGGGAATTCACAGAGAACTTACACATAAAGTAAAAGGAATTGGGATGAGTAATTTCAATGAAAAAGATTTTGATAAAATCCAGAAATGGGGAAACTCCAAAGCAGAAGACTATTGGATGGCTGGCCACAACAGTACATTGTTCCCCATCCCTGAACGGAGAGACCTCACCAAGATGAAAGAGTTCATGCGCATGAAATATGTCCAGAAGAGGTTCCTTGAAGATGAAGACAACAGTGATGATAGTGACGAAGACAGTGAAGAGGAAACCAAAAAGAAACATAAGAAAAAGAAGAAGGCCAAGAAAGCCAAAAAGAGCAAGAAGAAGAAAAAGAAACAGACCAGCAGTGAGGATGACTCCGATGATGACGAGTCCGAACAAGAAGAACACAAACAAGAGAAACCTGCTCCAACCAAAAAGAAAGTCGGATTTAAAACTGCTCCCAAAGGAACTGCTAAAGCCGCAAAAGCAAAAGTGTCGAATCGGGCAGCTCCGAAGCCCAGTGTAGAGCAGCCCAAAGAAGACCTCCTGGATATCCTCGACTTTGGACCAGAGTCTGCTCCACCAGCAGCCTCAGCATCAAGCGGTGGAGATAGCGGATGGGCCACCTTCGAAAGCGGAACACAGCAAGAACCCACCAAAGCCCAAGAAAGCAACGACTTGTGGGGAGCTTTTGACACACCCACCCAGAAAGAGAAATCAGCAAATGACTTGGTCAGCAGCTTAGGCGACTTGTATGGCCAGGCAGCTAAGACTCAACAGCAGCAGATGAATCCATTCGGAGCATTTGGAATGCAAAACATGCCACAGTCGGTACCTCAAACAATGCAACAGCGCGCGCCACAGGGTCCAGCTCCGACCAACAGCTTCGGAATGGGGACAACTCAACCACAAAGTAAGTCTGATTGCAGCAGTGTTCATCGTAATGTTTGAATTGTGTAGTTTGCGAGTTTGTTTAATCTAACACTGAGTTGTAGCCACATCTGCTTCAGGATCAATGCCGGGCGCAGGAACACAAGCAGACCCGTTCATGTCAGCAATGCAAGAAGAGCAGAAACTTCAGTACGAGCAAATGCAGAAAGCCCAGGCAGCCAAGCTTGCTCAGCAAACTGCTGCTCAAGCCAACGGAAGCAACGCAGGAGTGACTCCAAATATGTTCTTTCAGCAGATGTTCCAGATGATGGGTAATCAGGGAGGCCAGAATCAGCAGCAGAACGCAATGATGTTAGCAGCGATGCAAAGCATGATGCAGCAAATGTCTGTGGGAAACCAAGGGGGAGATACGAATGCTGAGTCTAAGACAGCGTCAGCACCAGCACCGGCACCTCAGCGGGACACTTCCAATGGAGCATTTAAAAGTTTGTTTAACAATGCTGCTACATCAGCTACTACAGGTGCAAGGCATTCAGATATTACTGGTTCAACTTCTTCTCATTCTTTTAATTCTTTTGACCAAGCTCCTTCATCAATGCCAGGGTCTGCTCGAGATCATGAACCTTCAAATCCATTTAGTAACTTTGGATCAGCTCCTGAGCCACCTGCTCCTGCTCAACCTCCAACACAATCGGATGATATTTTCAATGGAGGATTTTCGAATTCAGGTTGGAGTGGAGGCCAAACTACTCCAGCACAGCCAGCTCCTTCAAATAACCCATTTGATATGTTTAAATAATTCAGTATATTCATCGAAATTAGGGGTTTTGGGGTTTTGGGGTTTTGGGGTTTTGGGG